AAAGATGATTAGTTTATCTTTCGGTTGATGTACATAATTTTTCTGATTTTTTATATTTTGGAGTCAGAAATACAAAAAAACCAAAAAATTTAATTTTTTCATTCAATTACCTTTTTTGAAGAAAATTGCATAATTAATGTTACAGAAATTTATATTATTTAGAAAGTACAAGTTATTACCTTATATAAAAAGGTTTGTTATAGGGCAAAATTTAACGAAAGTAGTGGAAATAATCGAAATAGTATATATATTTTCTTTAAATATCGCTTACCAAAAATTTGTTTTAAAAAATGGTTATAGTAAATACGTCGTAAAAAAGCTATTAAAATTATCTTTGAATTGGATTCAATACTTTTCTAATCGGTCAAGTCGTTTCCGAGATATTTAACAAATAAAAAATAGGAAAGCTGAAGTTTAACCTGTTATATTTTCTGTGTTTTTTACTTGCCCCAAATAATTTGGATATGGTTAAAATCAGCGTGAAAAGTTCTATCGTTCTGCATTTTTGGTTTTTTTGTAGCTAAACGGTCCGTATTGTAGCTAGAATCAGCTGTTCGCATGGCAAAAGAAATCAAAATTGCCAACATGTTGGCAAATACATTTTGGTTGTCAAATGCTGCCACATCAGCGGCGAGGTCCGTTTACATTTGGATGTCATTTTATATGACCGTGTGTGGTGATATATGACAACAAACGCAAATGACACCAGATCACAACCAGTTTTCATTATTTTGACAACATTTGGCGTCAAATATGACCTAATGAAAACCAGGCTTTAGTAATATATTTATGAATGATTAATGAGGCTTCAAGCGAATCGAAAATAGATTAAATAAACGCAGCGCATATAGGAACACGACCACGCTACTTGACAGCTGTATCCTTCATATTTTATGGAATTTTTGTATGGATTTTTGGAGTGTTTTTTTTCGTATTGTAAAAATTTGCCTGTTTCACACATATCTAATAGGTTTCCACTGTGTTGTAGTGGTAAGCAGTGCGCGCTTCCACTCCGAAATACCTGAGTTCAAGCCCTGATCAAAGCAACATCGCAAAAAGATATAGAGAAAAAGGTTTTTTCTTAACAGCGGTCGTCCCTCGGCAGGCAGTGGCAAACCTCTGAGACTATTTTTTCCAGCTTCTCATAAAAATACAATCGCCGTTCGGAGTCGGCGTAAAACTGTAGGTCCCTCCGCTTTGTGTGACAACATCAAGGCGCACTCCACAAATAGGAGGAGAATTATTATTAATAGTTTTTCTTATAATTACAGAACCCTCTGTTTTTTTATAAAAAACAGCTTGTCTATTTTTCACCCGATTTTACAAATCAAACATGAGAAATGGATTTATAGGCCTTTAAACATACGTATAACAATCTATTGGTAGACTTCGATTGTTGGGTGTTTTTTGTAGCGTAAAATTAAAAAAACCCTAACTTTCTTTCTAAATTTAACCATCGCTTCAAACATTATACTGTTACTCGGTAGAGTCGACAACCCAACTGATAAGTTTTGTTACATGTACATAAACTAAGATCACACTGCTTGTTAAAAAACTCTAGTGAGAAAAATAATAAGGTTGTCTGTGAAGAAATCAAAAAATAGGACTAATAGAAATATGTGTTTCTTTATTTTATGTTATTAAAAGTACGATGCCTGTGTATATATGGGAGGTTTATAAAGATTAATCGATTATACCTTTTGCCTTTCAAGTGCTTATTTAAATAGTTTATACGGAAATGCATGCTGCACTTAAAAAATAGCTTTTTCACATTTATTGGAAGGTATATTTCATGGCTGTGGGATAATAATTTTTCGGAGAAGTTTGTGGTGCCAGAAATTACTTCGCCTTTAAATATTTGAAATATCCAACTTATTCAGCATAACCTGCACCGCTGGTGAAAATTCAAACGCCAAGTTTTAGAAAAAAACAATTTTTCACAAAAATTTAAACGGAAAATAAAAAAAAACAATGTTACAAGCAAATAATAAATGGCCAAATTGCCCCCAAAATATATGCAAATACTTCCAAAGAAGCAACATCTAAAACGTTCAACGAATAAAGGCAACATTGTGAAATATAAGGCAGCCGAATGTCAGAAAATGAACAGAGAATGCTGCCGTATTACTTCACCTGTTTAATGAGCCATGGGTCAGACCTATGTACAGCTTTTTAATTACTATTTGAGCATCGATTCTCTTTATAGGAAGACGTTGAACATTTCTGCTGCAAATCCCTATTGAAGGAGCCTACTCTTTGACTTTGAATAGCAAAAGAAGAGGGGCGTACGGGACAGTTTTAGCAAAAAAGTTTTTAGCCAAGGTTTCAATGAATATCCCCATGGAACAAATATTGCCCGACAAGTAAATAAAATAACTTTTTTTTTGATATATTTTCTAAAAATAAATTTTCCAAACAGCTTCATTTGAAATCAAAATCATCAAAACCAAATCACGAAAAAGTGGTTTAAACTGTGCACACTTCTTTCATGTCTAGTAGTTTTTTTAAGATTGGTCCACAAAATAATAATACAGAAAGAAACAAACGATCAAGTAGAAGTGGGAATTTGCACAACTGCCCATTTATAGCTCGGTTATATAGCTTGAGAAATAATAGGTTTAAAGACACTTTTATCAAAGTTGATAAATCTGACTTTGAACCAGTTTTGTTACACAACTACTCTTATGTGGGGCAAAAAATATTTACTTAAATTTGTAATTTTATTTGCCAAATAAACATTCGCATTCGCAAAAGCTCCACATTGATTATTGCGAATGCGAAAGCGAATGTTAAAATTAATGCGGAAGCTCCGCGGTTGTGAATGCGACATGTACATGTCGTTGAATTGTTTTTGAAATACAGTATCATGACTTCGGGAACCCATCAAACATGCCTTCAGCAACAAATCAAACGGATTTCAGCAACAAATTAACTGCGGTGTCTTGCCTTCGCCAACAGTGTTGCCAGAACTTTTCAGGGCGACCGGCTAGATTGGACAAAAAAACGGCTAAAAACGGCTTAAATGTTTCAACCAGAATTAATTTTTTTTAAATACATAAACTACAATTAGAAAGACTAGTCAATCCATTGAATTTTTTTTGGTTAATAAAGATTATTTATACATAGCTAAGCTGTAAACCACTTTATTTTTGTTTAACAAAGGAAACTGTCGTTATACGTAGCTGAGCTTTACATCAGAAGTCATGTTTGTATTACTTAAATATAAAAAACAGAGATAAATTACAAACATATGGCGTTTTCTTTTCTACTAACCAATTTTGCCTTCTTATAAATATTGGATCATTTTCAGTAGGTTGCGTTTTGTCCCGCAAAATGGCTATATTAGCTGAAAGTATGGCACTTTTGCTTAGTCGGAGGGCAATATTTTGAGAAATGAACACGTAAAGCTGTGAAAGCAGAAGGCATTGACATTCGTTGTTGTTGCCGACCACTTCACTTTTAACAAGTTTATGACATTTAACTAAAATCATGCCACCAGATTCACTAGCAGAAAAATTGTTGTTTCTTAAAAAAGTAGAAAAATTTGAGAATTTGAAGTTAGTGAAGTTGGATGAAAATATTAAAAGTGTTGCGCGTTTCCAAACTGCCAGAATTCGGTACACCTGAGCAAACGTTCGAATATAAAGTTTTTTGCTTTTCCGAGGTAGGGTACGTAGGTTGATAACAAATTGCTGACGCAAAATATCTTTAAACCTCTGAAAGATGTACCATTATCCGTGGAACAGGAAAGAGGTCGATTTAAAATGGTGCCTGCAACTTGTAACAGTACCAATTTTTGGATTCTCGGATTTGGATTCTGATAAAGATGTGGTGCTGCTAAAAATATATATACAAAAATATAAGCACGAAACTATGTATTTGTCACAAGAGTTATCCACATAAAATGAAAACTACTGCAGTTTTATTTTATGAAATTAAAAAAGTATGTTTGCACCATGTATTGTCTTCCCAGAGAGTTTTGCTCCACATCGAAATTCGTGCTCTTTTATTTTCTAAGTGTAGCGAATAAAACTTCACACTTAAATTTAAGACATTCATAACAAAAATTTTATGCAGAAAATTCCCGCTACGTTCTCCCAAATATAAACTGGGACGCAAAATTGAAGCAAGTTTTGCCTATTTTTCTTTAGTTTATTTAATATTTATTATTTTTTATGAATATGTAGCACATTACTTAACAAACAACATATACTACAAACAGATTTCACACTTGGTGTAAAAATTATGACAATTCTGCAAAATTTCAGCAAAACTTGTAACTTTTTAATCTGCTAAAATGACGCGTCCCGGTCTATGTGTATTTGGGTCACTCGCTTAAAACAAAAAACATTGAAATCGGCTCACTATCTGATTGTTTTTCAATTTTATTTAACACAGTCCGACATGAAAATTTTCTCAGAGATAAGACTAGCCATTTCTAATAGATTCTGGAGCACTAAATTTGTAAACATAAAAACTTGTATATTTGAATTTTAATAAAATAAGGCGAAGAGCAAAATCGGCTAAAAACGGCAAATTTTTTTTTGCAAAACGGCTAACAAATCGGCTGCCGGCTAAATCGAATTTTTTCCCGCTGTTTGCTGTCGCAACGGGCTAATTCTAGCCGGAAAACGGCTAAAATGGCAACGCTGTTCGCCAACCGTCCAAATGAGCTCTCATGCTTTCGGCAACCGTCCATATGCAGTATCGTGCTTTCGGCAATCAATCAAATACGGCGGTTGCTGGTTTCGTGCACGTTCACTCGGAATACTGGTTTGTCGAAGTCAACATCAGTATGAGCTGTTATAAGTATCGTTCTCTTGCGGTGGCTGTATTTGCAAGCACTGCACGCTATGCGTTGGTGTTCGTTCATCCCCCGTTTTTAATGTTTAAAGTCACAAAAACAGCATCGTTTTTCAATCTCTGACATGCATGATTTTATAGCCCCATACAATGAATGCAAATTTACAAACCGTTTCATTGAATAAAACTTATTTCAGGTATTTTAACTGGTAGTGTTTACAAGGATTATGGACTACTGAAAACAGGATTTCCAGCGGAAAATATTCGTAATAACTCGGTATTATTGGTAAAAACACACGAATTCGGCCCGAAAGCCTGGGAACCTTTTACTAAGGCAATTTTACTAGTACGCGACCCAGAAAAGGCAATTTTGGCAGAATTTAATAGACAAAGTGGCGGTCACATTGGATTTGCATCTCCCGATCGTTATAAAAGAACTAAAGGAAAGTGTAAGTATTGCTACAATAACTGTTCTTATTCAAATTGTACGTCGCCCATCAACAAGCGGAAATATCCAATCGATTTTAAACCAACCGCCAAATAACCTAAGCGACATATTTTTTTTATTTTCTTTTGATGCAGAAATGCATCTAGACGCTCTAGGAATATTTCTGCATCACTGTAAATATCGCTTACGTTACGTTTTGGCGGTTAGTGCTCGATATATTCGATTCCGACGAAATGAAATTAAATAAAATGTTAATGATTCCGGGGTACTGATTAGATTTCAACAGTTCGGTGCAATACGAAAACAAAACGGATGAGTTCACTTTGCGATAGTACACTACAGTACTTTAGTAGTTACAGACGAAACAACAAACGAAATGAATAGTGCAGAGAAAAATATATGTATGTATGTAGTACATGTTTTTTAATTGAATTGGATATGAAAATTTACAGAAAAAAATTTTTTTCACGTAATTGAAACGTTTGCATACATATAAAACGTACCCTATGGTACAATTGTCAGAAACGAAAAGCAAACGTTTCTCGTTGGGGAAAATGACAGTGAATCTTACGAATTGTTTCTGACTATGTACAAAACTGTACAAAACCACAAATGATATGATGCTCGATGAGCAAATGGGAACTGTTTTGTACAGTTTATTTTCGTACCCTGCCAAGTTGAAAAATTTTATAATTTTTCATAATTTTTTTTCGAATACAAAGGATATGATCATTCTTTTTCGCTTTATTCCGTATTCGAAAAACTATATGTTTCAATGGCCTCATCGATTTGAATACATAATTTAGATTTAGATAATATTTTTAGAAATTTATTTGGGAAAAATAAAACGTTTAGATTATTTATTGTTTTTATTTTCGTCGATTTTAAATTTGCTACCCCAAAATAATTGATATCAAATAAAATAACTCTTTGAGGTAAAATTTTCGAGTGACGAAAGCTGAACTAGAAACACAAAATTTGTGATATCAATTTCGTGACGAAAATTATACGCATTTTTTAATTGCCTTTGAAACGTACGGAAAATCTTTTTTTATTTATTCCGAAAGTTGCGAAATTCCTTCTACTGCTAGAAACACAAAATAAACAGAACTTTTGCAACGAATCGTATGAATGAAAAAAATTTTCCGTACGTTTCCAAGGCAGTTAAAAAATGCGTATAATTTTCGTTACGAAATTGATATCATAAATTTTGTGTTTAAAGTTCAGCTTTCGTCACTCGAAAATTTTACCTCAAAGAGGTGTTTTATTTGATTTTTAGTTTTCAGGCGATAACGTTATGGATTTTTAACTTTTTGATATTTTCTTCCCCAACTTTGACTATCTCGGGTGAAAAAAATGTACTGAGCTATAACTTTACATTACATAAAAAAATTGCTCATTTAATAAAGAACTTACTGTTTTGAATAGAAAAAAAAAGTTATAGCCGCTTTTGTGGGTAAAGGACTGAGACACGCTAGAATGTATTTAATAGATTTAAATTGAATTTGCTCTTGTTACCGTCAAATGACATGCTAAATAGTACAAATGAGTATTAAATGAGCAATTTTTTTATGTAATGTAAAGTTATAGCTCAGTACATTTTTTTTTCACCCGAGATAGTCAAATTTGGGGAAGAAAACATCAAAAAGTTAAAAATCCAGAAATAGTCCTAATTTTATGATGGTTCCTTAATATATTTTAACTACATTGCATTTGAGTATGGAGAGGCAACTATCTGGAAGTATTTTACATAAAAAATTTATTAAGTATTGCCCGGTTTGTAGTTGCAGTTAAAGAAAACACATGAAAAGGCACGATTTTTTTTAAATTCGAAAAAAAATTTAAATATTTCAAAAACGGTGCCACTTTTACCTGAAAATTTTTTGTTTATCAGGGAGCTCACCCCCCCACCTACCTTCCCCTAAAGTTTGGCACGTTATTTCTGGGACACCCTGTATAAGGTATCGTTTGAAAGGTATCGGCCTATAGAATAACACTGAATATGTTGGGTGTATCCACATGCCCCCTTAAACCGGCAAAAGCAAAAAAACGTTTTTTGTTTCGAAACACTTTAGCCTAATTTTTAAGATTCCGGTTAATCGTTTATGAAGCTTGAATACATTTGATGGACACACTCTGCAAGACCTTTCGAACGATATCTCAAACATGTCGATTGGACGTCTGGATACAAACTTCCAAATCTCTTGTATATATAAGTGAGTCATTTCAGCATGCTACTGTTACTGTATATATGTTATATAATTTATAATATAAATTGCTATAAAAGGTGTCTGGACATAGAACATAGTAAGTTGATAAAAGCGTTGTAAAAATAAATTAACGTAAAAGAATATTTTTTTAAACCAAGGTTTGGGTTAATATGTACAATCAGGGGAATAAAATAATATAATGTAAAACGATTTTTTAGTAAGAAACTTTTGTTAAAGCTGCACAAAAATGAATAAAATAAAATAAAATGGTGAAAGGAATTACTCAAACTCTAATGAAAATTTCTAACAATTTGTATTGATTTAGTACTTCGTTTTTAAAAAGCTTGTCGGTGAATTCAACGTACATGCATAATTTGTTATATGTACATACATACATAAATATGTATGCAGATATGTAACTGCCTGTTCAATATTCGCGCGACAAACTTTTCAATCAATATAAATTGTTAGTAATTTTCATTAGAGTTTGAGTAATTCCTTTCACCGTTTGGCTTTTTATAACTTTGACGAAAGCTTAACTTATTTTATTTTATTAATTTTAGTGCATTTTTAAAAAAAGTTTCTTGCTAAAAAATCCTTTTACATTATTTTATTTTATGCCTTTAATTTTACATGTTAAATAAAAGCTTGTTTTTAAAAAAATATTTTTTCCCTTTCTCTATACTCAATCTTCTTTACTCAATTCAGTTTTAAAAATTTCGCTCTCCATTTTTGCGATACTGCCACCTAAGCCGTTTCACTAAAAAAAAAAAAACAAAGGTGGAAACCGGTTTGGAAAAATCGCTTCAATCAAACTAATCAGTACCCGGAAACGGAATAGTAACGTACAATATAGTTTATTTTCGTACACTGCAACTTGGTACCAACTTTGGATACAATCAGTGATCGAATTCTGTGTTGTAGAATCTGGAAAAAAATGTGGTAGATATCTGGGTTTGGATCAAACTTTGTACAAAAATTTAAAAAAAATTCTGCAAGGTTTCACCTAAATTGTAAAACTTTTTAATTAAACTCTAAAAAGAATTTATTTTGGTATAATAAAGTGCAAGATTGAGTTGCTAAAAATTGCGTTGCGTTTTGGCAATTTTTTTCCTTGAAAGTATAAAGCAGTTCCATCCATATCAAGATATTTTTCGAACATTTTTTAAGAGATTTCAGCAACCTTGCGGAGTGCTGCCAGCTTTTTTTTATCACATCACGAAGTAGCGAACAAATGTGGCACGTTCCAGAAACAGCTAATTGGGATCTGCCGATTTTGACAGTTCTCAAGTGAAAGTAAACAACGCCTCAGAAACTTTAGATGCACTTAAATTTACTTATATTTTATCAAAAATCGCCGTTTTGTAACATTTTCGCTATTAATCCTTTTTACAAATGATATCTTTTGCAATTTAACACAATAAAACCACGTTTCCTGTCGAGAAATTGATTACTGAGAAAATTTACTATTGTACAGTTTATTTTATCTTCCCGAACAAGCCGAATGCTTTGTTTACTTCTATTTACTTGAGAAATTTCGTCGTCGCCGGGAATGCGGAATCTAGTATCATATCATTCTTGTTACCATATAGTGTTTAGTGTTGAACAATTTTTGCTCTTAAAATTAAGAAAATCATGTCGAGCAAAAATTAAACTACTCAAAACGCGAATATGTGGTAGATTTCAGAACTTGAGTGGTAGATGTGGTAGATGCTCAAATAAGTGGCAGATCTACCACAATGTGGTAGAAGTCCGATCACTGGATACAATAAACAACTGCATTCTTCTGATTGTCTCGTAGTTTAATTTTATTAAGATTTCAACAGGGTGTGGGGCGTACACATGTGTTTTTTTTAAGAAGTTTTACTTCTATAACGTGTACGGTGTTGCACTCGTGCTATTAAACTAATGCTTTTTTCTAAAGTTGTTTTGATCAGTGGCAATTTATGCATATGTATGTAAGTAGTAGCGTCGCATTGGGTGAACTAAATGCATTCCTATTTACATATTTATGTACAAATATAGGTAATATTGTATGCGTCTTCCCAGGTAGGTTAAGTGCGGGTGATAAACCCATGTAGCATAGTTAAATACTATGTACATACTAGGGATGTCAATCCCGGGATTTCGGGATTCCGGTCTTTTCTAAGTCCCGAATATCCCGGGATTAGTCGATTTAAACCCCGGGATTGCTGGAAACAATTTTTTTGTTAGCCAATTAAATTTTTATCACAAATATCCCCTCAAGGGCAAATTAAGAATTTTTTGCAACCCTTAATGCTATAATTTCTTTAAGATCGCATTACCATCAAAAGAAGGAATAATTTTGCTGTGTTAACTTTTTTATTATTACTTAAATATACTGATAATATCTAAAATTGATCTCAAACAGTGATTCAAAAAATTGTATATAGTTACATAGGCAGTTACTGCTGTACCAAATACAGTCACTTACAAAAATATTTTACATCGATTTTTTTTTGCAATATTCAAAATATTTTTCATGGTATTTTTTTGTTAATTAAAAAAAATATATAGCTCATTTTACAACAAAAATCATGTAAATCAAAATTTCACACTTTAGAGAAAGTTGGTTTAAGTTCACCAAATTATCATAAAAATATCAAACTTTTTAATCATAATTAAAAAAAAAAAAATCTATTATGCAGTTTTATAGCCCATTCAATTTAATACAATAAAGTGCAATTTGAAAGTTGCTAAAAACTCCCTTGATTTTTGAATTTTTTTTACTGACGATGTTGGGCATTTTTTTCCTTATAACGAATTATTT